AGTTCTAACAAGAGTTTTCTTTTTTCTTTTAAATACGACAATTTCTCTTTCCTTATTGTGGTACTATTTTTTTATTGATTCTTAAAACAGAGTTTTAATACACAATTTTTAATTTTTGTACTAAAACCTTATTTTTAAAAATAATAAAAAATTCATCCGAAATGAAGCCTAAGAATTCATTTGGGACAGCTTTCTTGTTATTTTATAAAGTATTTTTTTAGTATAGATTTTTTTATGAATTAAACATTTTTATACTAAAAAAATGCTTCATAAAACATTAAGAATTAAGAAAGATGTCACAATGCTTTGTTCAGAACAACTTTCTTAGCATTTTTAAATCAGTTTTTTGCTCTAAAATTTTTTTAGATTTAGATATTTTTGTACTAAAAAACTGTTTAAGAAGTAGTAAGAAAGCTGTCCCAAACAAAAGCTTAAATCATCCGAAGCTTAGGGTCTTATATATATTTTTGTTTTTTTATGAGTTTCCCCCTCTAAGAAGGCTGGTTCCGCCGCTGCTCCTAGCTACCAGTATTTGCGCATATTTGCTTTGGCATATTGCCATGCCACCAATCAACTCCCCTCTTCTCCACAGCATAGACAACTAGGGTCCTACTCTGTAGAGCCTTATCCACCACATGGAAGGCTATTTGTTTTCATTGATTGTTAGTCTTCTATAGCTATATATAATCTCTTTGAAAGATATTTGATACGTAATCATGAAATAATCTTTGATCGGGCACGAATCTCAAGGCAAAAATCAAATTGGGAACTTCAAAAATTAAATTCGGGAGCACCTGAACTCTGATTTCAACGAGCTTACAGTTGAACTGAGCGTCTCAGAAATACGAACCCAACGACACCAAATTCAACTCGATCCGAGCCCAAATGGGTCCGAATCATGGACCCGAAGCGCTGTTGGAAGGTTCAAACCGCAATTTGAGATACCAAACGGTCTCTGATTTTAACGATCTTATACTCGAATCGAACGGCTCGACGATACAAATCCAACGAGTCCAAGCTCGACGAATTCCGACATATCTAAGACTTTCAAATGTCCAACGAACGGTGCACGATCATAGGATTCGATATCGGCCGTCCATTCAACCACTCCCTATTCACCCATGATCTCACGCCTATTTACGAGCTATGCCACTCCATAAAATCTATAAATAGAGCCCTCATTCTTTACAGAGGGGGCAAGCAAGAGGAAAAGAGAAGGAAGATAAGGAATAAGCTCCTCCTCGACCACCGATGGAACCTCGCCGGACCACCACAGGAGCTCGCTGGACCACTGCCGGAACCTCGCCGGACCACCACCGGAGCTCGTCGGACCACCACCGGAACCTCATTGGACCATCGTCGGAGCTTCGTTTCACCAGCACCTCAGGGCCCAACGTTCAGCTGAAGGCCTAACGTTCAGGCCCGACGTTCAAGTCCCGATGTTCTGCTGAAGGCCCAACGTTCTGCTCAAGTCCCAACATTCTGCTGAAGGCCCAACGTTCTGCTCAATGTCCGACGTTCTGCAGAATGCCCGACATTCTGCTGAAGGCCCGACATTCTGCTTAAGGCCGGACTACCAACTAACACCCGAACTTCCAGGTGACGCCAAGGTACTATCAAGTGACATCGGGTCTAACGCCAGACTTCTATCAAACAATTGCTAATTGTAATCTGATAGCCCTTGGAGGCGGGTCAGCCCTTTGTAACCGACTCAAATTATAGTGGAATCATTTTCAACTGGGCTAGGCCCTGTGGTTTTTCCCCTTTTTAAGGGTTTTCCACGTAAAAACTCTGATGTCTCTTATGAACTACACCCTCTTACTTATCTGATTGTGTGTTGGATCTTCATACAATGCTAAGACATTAAACTATATATTACTATACCGCTGCGAATACTCCAGGACGCAACAATATTAATGTTTAGGGTTAAGACTTTGTTTGTGGCGATTTTTTTATTGCTTTCTTAAGCAGTTTTTTAATACTAAAAATTATTAAAGGAAAAAATTGCTTCACAAAGAAGTAACAAAGTTATTTCAAATGAAAAGTAAATCTTTAACATCCTCGCTCACAAGTGTCTAATTCATATAAATCCATTACATGAATTGTGGAATTATGATTTCATGAATTTGAAATAATATGAATATGCTTTGTTAGATATTATAGTTAATCTTGCCATATTAGTCTTATATTTCATCGAGTTTAGGCACAGTTTTCTTTAACACTTTTATTATCAAAATATTCTTGATATATCATCAAAAAATTATCTTGATCGGGCATGAATCACAAGGCATAATCAAGTTTGTAACTTTTAAAATTAAATTTGTGAACAACTGAACTCTGATTTCAGCAAACTTATAATCAAATCGAACATATAAAAAATATGAAACCAACGACATCAAAATCGACTCAATATGAGCCCAAATAAGCCCAAATGAAAGTCCCGACGCACATTTGGAAGGTTCAAACCATAAATTGGATGACCAAATGGTTTACAAACATGACATGCTTATAGTCTAATCGAGCGGCTCGACGAGACGAATCCAACTAGCCCAAGATCATCAAATTCTAATATCATTAAGACATTCAAATTTTAGGAGTCAACAAGTTTATTTAATTAGTGGTTTTAAGCTAAATAGTTCATAAGGACATTATTTAGATGCATTTGATTGTGAGGCATTGCTCAATCCTTGATGAAAAATTTCGTAGATTGAGTTTTTTCTTTTTCTTTTCATTTGTACTATTTTTCTCCTCTAAAATCAATGTATATTAATATGTGCCAGATGAGCTAGCTTTATATCATGCTCATTTACTATTGGTACATATTATTTTAGTTAAGGAATATTTAATTATATTAATATTTCATTTAGGCCAGTTTTTTATTATTTTTTAAAGCAGCTTTATAGAACAAATATTTTTTTAATTAGAATTTCGTACTAAAAAGCTGTTTAATTAGAAATCAGCAAGAAAGTTGTTCCAAATGAAGCGTTAGCTGTAATATGTTTTTTTTTTCCTTCACAGTTGACCCACAAATAAGATGATATTAAAGTATTATTGATGAATAATGCAAGATTATATTCCGTAACTATTTGGGTTGGAGGTAGGGGTGTCAATTCGGGTCAACGGGTCGGGTTCGCGTCGAACCTGGAACTGACCCGACACTATTCGGGTCAATCAGAACCGTATTCGGGTCAATCAGAACCCGAACCGTTTTTAAAACGTGTTAGGTTTCCGGACCCGAACCAGACCCGAATCGGGTCCGGGTCAACCCGACCCGACACGAATGACCCGGAGTTGACCCAAAATTGCTAGTTTTCAGGTCAAAAATCGGGCCAATCTTCAATTTTCGGGTAAAAAACGGGTCAATCTCGGGTTTTCGGGTCAAATATGAGCTTTCGTGTTACTTTCGGGTCAATTATGGGTTGCTAGGTCAACCCAAACCCGACCCAATTTTTAAAACGGGTTGATTTGTTGAACCCGAACCCGCGAACCCGACCCCTTTCGGGTTCAGGTTGACCCAAACTCGAATTTTTCCGGGTCAGGTTCGGGTCGGGTTTCGGGTCGTGTCAGAAATTGACACCCCTAATTGGAGGAATTGATGTCATATGGTTTGATCTACCAAAATGTTGCAACACCAATATTGTCATTACAATTATGATAAAAGATCTATGATATCTTCTAAGGTAATAATTCTTTGAAATATCAATCATTTGATCTACTTTCATATAAAAGTCTAATCAATTTATTTATTTTTTCATTAACCATCATACAACACATAAGTATTGATATTTGATTTATTTGCAGGAGAAAAGTTTATTCTAAATATAACAAAAAAATATATATTCTAAGCACATAAACAATTCAATTTTTTATGAAATCTTATTTAAATGTATGTCAAAATAAATTAGAACTATGTTTTGAATTATGTTCACACAATAATTAAAAATATATGAATAACAATCGAATTAGGTTTGAACTTTGTTATAACTACTTTCAAATTTATTTAAATAGCGTTCATGTATATCCAAATATGCCATGAAGAGCGGAAGGTTAAAAGTGCACTCGTGAAATGATTATGATGCACTCACCAAGAGTCAAAGATTACTCGTCACTCATCATGACTACGCTCGCTACTCGTAGAAATTATTATGTGCGAATGCCGGACGCAAAACACTTTTCGGAGACCAACCAGAACGCGCCATGTCAAAGTTATCGAGTCACGGTACCGAGAAGTACCGAGCACATGAGTGATGCGGTAAATTCTGATTGGTCTTCGGAGGACGTTCGACGACTGCATAGAATAATTAATCCTCACACACATCCTGTCACTTTTTTCTTTTTTCTCTTTGTCAAGTATTACACAGTGAAATTTTATAAGTCTTGAAAGTATGATCCGTATATCACGCACGAACAAATTTAAATTCAATCATTAGAATATGGAACAAATTTCGAACTCAATTCCAACAAAAGTCAAACTTAGTTTTAAAAAGAATATAACTATATAAGCTTCGTTTAGGACAGTTTTTTATTGCTTTATAAAACGGAGTTTTAGTAAAAAATAAAAAAATTTGTACTAAAACTCCGTTTTAGAAAGCAATAAAAAAATCGCCCCAAACGAACCTTAAGTCTATTGAACTAAATCGACTCTTATTTGATCCTCTTTATATCTTTAATGGGTTCTACATTAGTATCAATAAAATTGACCTCAATAACTAATTTTCATAAAAAAAAATCCCTCATAATTAATAAAAACCATTAAATAGCAATTTTAAAGCCATACACATGACATTAAGATACTTGTTCGTAGATGTCAAAGTCTTTGAACTAGTTATTGAAACTTATAACTACTATTGCTGGGAGTGAAATGCAAACACAGACTGTTAAGGATTCAACACGTGGCATACCAAGTTTTTGAGACACGTGGCAACATGAAATGCGTGGTGGATTGTTGTGGGAAAAGAGGACGCACGGCTTTAACTTAAAACTATCTTGCTCTTCCCTCCTTCCCCACATGTTCCTCGTGCAGTCGTGCTTCAACATCGTTATCAACCGGCTCCTCTTGTCCCTCCGAGGCTCGGCGCAGCGGTAGAGACTTGCTAGGGTTAGGGTTTTCCCTTCATGGCAATGTCGTGCTCCGGCGCCAACATGTACGCCTCCTGCTCGGCTACTGCTCCTCGTTCATTCAGGAAACCATTGTCGCCCTGCATGTCTTCCTCCGTCTTCCTCGGCACACGCCGGCCGGAGAATTTCACTGGTAAGGAACTCCGGATCTGCAACCGGAAGGCAACCAGGAGGTCTAGCGGGCATCTGAGGGTTGTCTGCGAGAAGGTCGTGGGGATTGATCTTGGCACGACAAATTCTGCGGTGGCGGCGATGGAGGGTGGGAAGCCGACGATCGTCACGAATGCTGAGGGGCAGCGGACGACTCCGTCAGTTGTGGCGTACACGAAGAACGGGGAGCGGCTCGTAGGGCAGATTGCGAAGCGCCAGGCTGTAGTGAATCCGGAGAACACCTTCTTTTCGGTGAAGCGGTTCATTGGGAGGAAGATGGTGGAGGTGGATGAGGAGTCGAAGCAGGTCTCGTACAGGGTCGTGAGGGATGAGAATGGGAATGTCAAGCTGGAATGCCCGGCGATTGGAAAGCAGTTTGCGGCTGAGGAAATTTCTTCTCAGGTTGGTTTTGATTTTGATTCCTGTCTATGGATTTCTTTTTTTGATAATTGTTTAGGCTTTCCTTCTTTTTTTAATAATATGATGATTGGTTTTTCAAAGCTGCTCCTTAACTGTTTGAAATTTTGACGACATTCCTATCCCCACAAATGGTTTCTATATTAATGGGGATTTAGTGATGATAGCCCAGCTCATGATAACCACAGCTGCGTATCACATGTGGAGCAGCTACGACCGAAACCAGTCACGCAATTCCAAAAGCTCAAGAAATCTCCACCGCTCCTCCGAGACAGAGAAACGATGTATTACTTTATCACCAAATTAAATGAAAAATGATATGCTTCTTCCTTGCTGATATGCATACTCTCATTTAGCTTGCATCCACTGCTCTGTTTCTTTACTTCATTATGGTATCAGAGATGTAGCGTTACTACATCTACCTTCCTCCCTAGCTTTTATACTCTGCAATGGCAATGGATTAACTGGTTTCTTCTTCCCTTCATGACGACCTTGCATCATTCAAACTTGACAAATGCTCTGTTCTCTCTTTTCTCAGATTCCTTATTTCTAATATAAAATTTGTTGTCAATGCACAATTCACAAGCAACAACTAACCACTGTAGAGGTCCCAAATGCTCAAGTTATTCGCAACAAATGGCTTTGAAGGTTTCTTACATGGGTCTACCTTTTGCCCAAACAAAACAACCATATGTTCAACAACGAACTCATCCTAACCCCTGATATAATACGGAGATACTCATTGACCAAAATATGGCCACTACTCTCTACCCTAACATACCACACCCATTCTTTCCTATGTTCTAAACCTTACTTTTTGTTCAAACATTTGGGCAATGATTGAGAGACGCCTTCAATCCTCGAATTGCTTTAAAGTAATTTAGTTGAAGAATGAGCTTCATCTCATCTTCATGAAAAATAAAATGATTACACAATGCCCCTCCGAATTCAAGGTTTTTGTGGACAATATTATATCAGTGGGCTCATCTCTCGACACTGAAGATATTATATTGTAAGTCCTCAATTGATTGACTTTTCCTATCAAGCATTTGAAGATGGCTCTTCTCATTAAACTCACTTTAGTAGGTCTTGATAATCTTTACTCTCTTTTGAATATATTTCTTTTTTGTTTTAATAAAATTTTTTATTGCTTAAAAAAGTGTACGTTTGTGGGAATGCATCTTGATTTGTGCCTTTAATATTTCTTTAGTCACTCTGCCCTGACAATACAACATTGGTTAATTGGTGGTTTCCTTCTACTATTTTTCCTTTTGTGGCTTTTTCTTCTGGCATCGACACTGTATTTGTTGCTAGGCTTCCTTCTTTGCTATTGTAGACATGTCGGCCCAGTTGTTTTCCTTGTATTTCTCTGTTATTATATTGCAGGAACTTTCAAAATTGTAGAGAGTTGATAGAATGGGATTCTAAATGTGGAAATACGTTATTTGTCAAAGCCATGGTTTGAAACTTGTTGTTCTTGCTGGAATTTAAGAGTGCTGAATTGAAACTTGTAAAATTAGGCAAGAAGTTGGCAGATTTTGAGAGTTAATGTATTTTGGGTTACAAATAGGACCTCTAAGATAACTCATTGAATGATCATATGGATTTTAATTTTCTTTCAGTTCTAGTGTTTTTGATGGATTCTTTGAGCACTTCTTGAGTTGTGTTGAAAATTTTTGGGAGGGAATTCTCCTCGTCCCAGTTTGTGGACTAGATCTTCCAATTTGTGATTTCTATGTACATGATCAGGATTATTTCAAGTTTGATCCATATTGCCCCATTATTGTGGTATAAATCTTAATCAAAGTTGAATTTATTTTGTTATTAGATTTCTTAAGAAATTTTAGTTTCTTTATGCGAATTTTAGATTTTATTTCTGATTATGTATCCAAAAAGATTAATCTTTGCCTAAATTATGAAATTGTGAATTATGATATTTTATAAGCTTCTTTATTCATCTTAATCCTGGGTTTATACTAGTTAATCTTAAAACTCTAAATCGTCCTAGTTCACAATGGTTTGCTTTCATTAATAGTGTTGCTTGCTAATTGATTCTCTTATTGTACTGTGAATGGATATCTTAGAATAACTAACTCACCTATTAGTTGTTAGGATGCTGTTTTCCCAAAAGATTGTATTAACAATTTTTATTTTCTTATTCTGTCTGATCGGCTTCCATCTAATCTTATTTTCTTGACTCTTAGGTTTTGAGGAAACTTGTTGATGATGCATCCAAGTTCTTAAATGACAAAGTGACTAAAGCAGTCGTTACTGTGCCTGCATATTTCAACGACTCCCAAAGGACTGCTACAAAGGATGCTGGTCGTATAGCTGGTTTGGAAGTCCTCCGCATCATTAATGAACCAACTGCTGCTTCATTAGCATATGGGTTTGAGAAGAAGAACAATGAAACTATCCTCGTATTTGATTTGGGCGGCGGCACATTTGATGTTTCAGGTTAATCAATCAACAGTTTTTTGCTATTTTTAATTGCTATTTTAAATTTTATATGGAATTGCTTTTTATTTTTTTAAAATTCATTTATATGGCTTCTGTTATCGACTTCTTTTGTTTGAATGAATTTTGTTTTAGAGTTTTAAGGTTTTTAATGGGTTGTTTTGCATGTATCATTCAATAGAAAAGCTATAACTAGGGTTTGCTTGTTACAGAGTTGGCAGTCAAGATATGCATGCTTTTAGCAAACATATTTTGGCTTATTTTCTATGCTTTGGTGCGATAAATTATGATGCCTATTGTTTCAAACTTAACAAGTTTAATATTTGATCAATCATTAGTCTGATGATGCACTAGCTTATTTTTTTGTAGATTATTAATTTTATTGAACATTCCCTGCAGTACTTGAGGTTGGAGATGGTGTATTTGAAGTTCTTTCTACTTCTGGAGATACGCATCTTGGTGGTGATGACTTTGATAAGGTTCGTTAAGAAAATTTAACCCAGATCTGTTGAACACAGTACGCACCATTACTTTTGTTTGTTTCTGCTTAGTTTGACATTTTGCAAGGAATGCAACTACCATTCTACGTGATTCCAACTTTTCTGAAAAGTTTTGTAATATAAGTTTTTAATTATTGTTTTTCTGTTTGCATAGAACTAATTAACTTTGCTCCTTTTCCTATTTGGATCTTAGGGCTAATCAACTTTGTCCAATTCCTTCCATGTTTGTTGTTCTTTAACCTTACAAATTTGAGCCTATTGGTGACAATAGCCAGGAAAATTAAAAGAGTTAGTGATGTAATGTGAGGCTCTTCTATTTTCTTAAACAAGGTGTTAGCAATTATAAAATTATATGCTAGAGAAAAATCTAATATGATCCTACCATCTTAATTAATTACTCCAAACCCATAATCACCATGAATTCTTTTAAAACCTTCTACCTCTCTACCAACTTGTCAATTTAAATCTCTATCAATACAAACTTTCTTCATGAGGTATCTTTTGTATTAAGTCTTCTAAGTCATTTAAAAAGTTTTAATTTTGAACATATCCAAACTTACTTGAGGAGCATAAGAGCTTGTAATATTAATAATCTTAGCATCAACAACAATCTTTAAAGTTATAATTTTATTTTCAATTATTTTAATTTTTACTACATTTTTCTTCAAGCTCTTATCTAAAATTACACCTACACCATTTATTTTACAATTCCTACCAGAATAGCAAAATTTAAACTCTAAATTATCAATCTCCTTAGTCTTATCTTCAACCCATTTAGTTTCCTAAATATATAGAATATTTATCTTTCTATAAATCATAATATCTATTAATTCTATTAATTTGCCTGTAAGAGATCCTATATTTCAAGTTCTTATCCTAATTCTAGTTTTATTGACTAACTTCTTTGCCCACATCTGTCCATGATGTGGGAACCCTTGCCTATTTAACATCGTACCCAGGCGTCAGTGCAGCAGCCTTTACACACTTCTTACTATAATCAAGTCATACAACCAATCGCTATCCGGGAACACCCTAGCTTTAACACAATATAAATAATTTATGTCATGATTATTTCACAAGTTTTACGCTAGCTAACACAACCCTTCACTTTTCTCATTCATGACTTGGGACCTGGCTACGACAATGTTAAATTCAGGTGGCTGGAGCAGGAATAACAAATAATTTACGATGTATTTGAAAATCGGCTAGAGAGTGCATTTTAATTACTTCAAAATTTTATCCTACATTTCTTTTAATTTTGACCAAACACCATGGGCGGATCCCCATAGAGCTATTTGCCCACCCTAAAAAAAAAGCCTATATAAAGAATAAATTTGAAATTTTGACCCCTCTAAAAAAATATTTTGCCCAAATGGTTGAAGATGCTTTTTGAATGATATATTTGTCTTACAAAAAATGTAAGATGCTTACTTTCTAGTTCGTATAAAATAGGAGGTAAGCTTTATATATCAAATGGAGAAAAAAGTGACTTATGATTTATAAGTTAGGTTTGTATTGCCTTGGATTTGACAATGCATGGATGCAAGAGTCCTAGGGATGGCTATGTAGTAGGCAAGCAACTTTAGGAAAAGATGGCCTTTATTTTTTTCTTTTCTTTTTTATTTGGATTTTTTCCTATTCTTTTCTTCCATGGATATATGTGATGGGCTCTTTGAAACTTTCATATGCAAGTTGTCATGCATACTTTATGATTTAATTATCCCTTTTTTCTTTCTCAAGTTAGACCATGCTACATCTTTTAACGTTTTTATTTATTTATTTTTTTTTTTAACTACATCTTTTAACGTTGCTGTTGGATTCACTATCAGATTTGGAGTTGCTGATCATTTTGATAGAATGCCTCGTTGGGCACAGCCTCCTCATTGGACTACTAAAAGATTGAGAAATTAATAATAGCAGAATTTATTTTTCTTGTCACTTTTGTTCCTTATAGTTCCCTTCCGTAGAATTATTCAACTTTTCCTTTTTATAGAAATACTATAGGAGGTTTGCGTTCCTTGAAATACTCTTATTACTTGTTAAGAGGCTCAATTGATGCAGTAATGACATTGTTAATGACTGCATATGCCAGTGCAGCTTTTTTACTTTTGTAGTGATTAGCATTCCCTTCCTGAAAGTTTTTGTCTGTCTTCATTTTCCGCAGAGGGTGGTTGATTGGTTGGCTGCAAACTTCAAGAAAGATGAAGGCATTGATCTCCTTAAAGATAAACAAGCCCTTCAACGACTGACAGAAACGGCAGAGAAGGCCAAAATGGAGCTGTCATCCTTAACCCAGACAAATATTAGGCTAGTTTCTCATGTCAACTTTGTTATTCATTGTTGTATCTGATTGGGCCATTATTTTTACCCAAAATTTATGTTGCAGTTTGCCATTCATAACTGCCACTGCTGATGGTCCAAAGCACATTGAGACAACTCTGACAAGGGCAAAGTTTGAGGAGCTGTGTTCAGACCTTCTGGATAGGTATTCATTTGTTCTTAATCTTCATCACTTGCATCTGAAAAAAAAAACCTCTAATCCTTTTTATCAATTAGTACCCGTAACGTTTTATATAAACTCATTTTCACTCATCATAACTTTTGGCTGAATGATTCTAGTACAGTTATTTTACGCTTGTTTGTTTTTTTTCTTGGCTAGAATTCTTTTGATAGCATTTGGAATCTGTGTTTCTTACGTGATTTTCTCAAATGATAAACAAAAGCATCTTATGATGATCTTTGTTGGAACTTTAGCCCTGCTAACTTACCTTCTTAGTTTTACATGCGGTATTATGCTGTAATTTTTTTCTTTTGCTGCTGAATTGCTTTTATATTTTTATCCAATTTCAGGTTGAGAACTCCTGTAGAAAATTCCTTGAGAGATGCAAAGTTGTCTTTCAAAGATCTCGATGAGGTGATTCTTGTGGGTGGATCAACCAGAATTCCAGCTGTTCAGGGGCTTGTCAAGAAGTTGACTGGAAAGGATCCAAATGTTACTGTCAACCCTGATGAGGTTGTTGCCCTGGGTGCTGCGGTGCAGGTAATTTTTGTTTTTCGGAACAGCATGTGCATATCTAAATCGTAGTTACATCTAATGCTTATGTAGGGCTATAGGATCTTAGTGGTGAAGACAACCGTTTGATTGATGTTCCCTTATAATGGTGATGGAAGGTTTAAGAGGTGGGAAAAAGGATATTCCCGGTTAGATAAATTTAATGTTGAAATTTATAGGCTATCCAAAGACAAGTTTTTCTTTATAGAAAAATGTTGAGGAACTTAAGAACAAATGTTTGGGATATTAGAGAACTAATGCTGATATTTTTATGGATTTTAGATCAATTGTTATGGAGCTGTGAAATTTTTAATTCAATTACTCATAATAGAAAATTGTCTCTTTATAAATTCTTTTTAGCTGGGATATCGTAGGGTAAGCGGGAATTGAGATTTTGAGAAGTTGTGAGGGATGCGAGAGAATATGTATGAGAGTTTTTAAGAGGTTGGATGTATCTTGTGTTGAGGGATGTATTAGATTGTTGGAGCCTTATGTGGAGGAAATGAAGATTGAAAAAGGGAGGAGTATGGACAAGAAAAGATAACTAAGGAATCACCCAAACCCTAGGGGATTAGCCACACAAAGCTTCACCAATGTGTAGAGCAGTCATTAAGCTTTTTCACATGAAATTTGCACAAGAAAAAAATAATTTTATTTAATTAATCTAAAAGTACAAGACAATATCCTAGGGGAATATATAGGAGAGTTTTTAAGAGATTGGATGTGTCTTGTGTTGAGGGAGGCTAGGTATTAGATTGTTGGAGCCTTATGTGGAGGAAATAAAGATTGTGTTAGAAAAAGGGAGCAGGGATAAGAAAAGATAATTAAGGACTCACCCAAATCCTAGGGAATTAGCCACCAAACTTCACCAATGTTTAGAGCAGTCATTAAGTCTTTTTTACATGAAATTTGCACAATAAAAAATTAATTTTATTTAATGTATCTAAAAGTACAAGGCAATATACTATTTATCGATCTTTTAGAAGCCTAGATAAATATAATAACATTTAGGAGCAAATAAAATAGTTTAACATGGACTAATGACTTGTCCTAATGCAAAGTCTTGATGATATATCTTAGTTTGTGACATTTTCATTGGCCTTTTGTGTTGGTGATGCTTCAAATATCCAAAGAAAAAAAAAACTACTAAAAAATCCCCATTTTGTCTGTGCCTCATTCAAATCATTGATAATTGATAAAAGTGAAAAAATATGGGCATTTTGACTTATTTTTTTAGATTTAAGTGTTATTATTATTAGTAGTTGAGTGCTAGATTTGTAAATGGGCAAGATATTGATGTTTCACAAAATTGGACTTGCCCCTTTTATTTCTATTGGAGCTTTTATTTCTTTCTTTATAATATGGAGTATCTCTCTGTTTTATAACTTAGATGTTGTTCCTCATTTTGAGGGTCTATTTGGGATAGTTGTTTCACTATTTTATTTACAAATTGCTAACACGCCCTTGTTTGACTATTGCCTTTTTGTTGTTTTTTAAAAAATTGTATTTATAACCAAATATGCTAGTGTCTATTAGGGGCAACTTTCTCATAGTTTTGCTTTTCAACGTGCTGCCACTAGGTGTGTAAACGAGTCGAGTCAAACCAAACTCAAGCTCGATTCGCAAGCCAAATACCGAGCTCCAACTCGAGTCAAGCTTTTAACTCGTCGCATTGCAAATGGCTCATTGAATCGCTCGATTTTGGGATTTGAGTACCGCCATTGTTTGTGTTCCGCACGCGAGCCCGCGTCATTCGCATTCCGCATTTCGCACGCGAGCACACCGTCGTTCGCATTCCACGCATAGCTCGCTTTGTTTGTGTCCTGCTGTTCGTGCGTGAGCCCACCATTGTTCGCCAATCCGCATGCGAGCCCACGTCCTGCTTCCCGCCCAACCATTCAAAATTCCCACCCACACATAGTGTTGGAAATCAAAATTTCCGCCACGCCCATGCTCCATCTTTCGTTCGTATCCCACTTCCCGCCTCATTCGGTCTTTAATATATAAATATTTTATTAAAGAAGTAATTAATAACGAGCTGGCTGGCAAGCTCACGAGCCAGCTCGCGGGCTCAAGAGCCAAGCCTCATTGAGTTCGAACTCGTGCCTCGATAAGCTCAGCTCACAAGCTTGTTTAACGAGTCGAGCCCGAACCGGCTTGCGAGTCATCTCGACCCGCTTGCAACCCTAGCTGTCACACATCTATTTTACTATTGCTTTTTGCTTTTTAAAAAATTTCTATGATGAGAAGCTATGTTTGAGAACGAGATCTACTTGAGCATTGTAGCTATAAGAAAGTTATTATTTTTTTATTAAAAAAAAGATTATTTTATCCACAAAAGCTTTCAAAAAAATTCTTTTCCCACAATAGTTTACAAACACCGTTAAAAAAAAATTGCAACCACTCCAAATGCACCTAGAGTGTGCGGGTGATAAGAGAGTTGCTCGACTTTTTCCATATATGTTTTATAATACTCACATTAATTTTTAAAAGTTACTTTCTCCACACTAGTTTGACAACTACCTATAGAGAAAGTTACAGCAATATGATTAAAAAAATGGTATATTTTTCATTTTCAACAGTAATTGAAACTCGAGGGAGATAAGGGGAACAGGCAAAGTGGATTTGACCCAATTTTAATCCTGATTTACATGAACGACGTAAGAATGAGTGTTGGGGAGGTAAAACAGTAAATAGAGTAAATAGGGAATGCACAAATTTTGACACAAGAGTTTAAATAGTAAATTTGAATTGCAAAAAATAAAATACAATCATAGAAAGATAATAGAAAACCTAATTTATAGTGGTTTGGCAAGACCCGGCTTATGCTACCATTAGAAATTGTCTTAGGAGTTCCCTTAGCTCCGCTCCCTTTTTAATTGTAGGTAGATAAATCTCCTTACAATCGGGCTATATATACCCCAATGCTTCTCCTTGAAGGACAGAAACTGCCACTCTTAGCTCAACCTTTGGCTTGTAAACACAATAGTGGAATAAGAGTATGAGATTTTAATCTAAACTTTTATATAGCTCAAAAGGATTGCTATGTAAAAGCTATAAGATTGAATGAACAAGATGGTTTGGCTCATGAAAATGGAGAACAAGTATGCTGATAATAGGCATTAGAGGATTAAACAAATGTCAAAATTACATTTAACCATTGCCCAAACTACCCCAACTAAACTCCCATTCTGTTGGACAGTTGTACTTTATGTTATTTCCAAATCGAGTTAGATTATATATTGAGAGAGAGAGAGAGAGAGAGAGAGAGAGAGAAGCGCGACACACTTAGGATTCCATTATCTAAATCACTTCTTTGCTCACAAACTAGTGGAGAAATCAATTACAATCTTCGTAGTTCAAGGGTAAGAGAAGCGCGACTTTGTTTATCAATAAGGACATGCCTTTATACCTCCTAGACAGTTAACAAAAGAGAAAAATTAGAATGAAAATAAAATTACAAAGATTGGAATACTTGAATGTAGAATTTTCATGTGAAGGACAAAGATTGGTGAATGTCATTTAGATCATAGATCTTTTGATTCTCATGCATTTATTTTTTTAAGAAGATGGAATGATTTTGCAATAGATTTTTTGATTTGAATCCTCTTGAGTTTTAGGCTAGAACCATGGTGATTATCTATTAAGTAGTGACTATCTATTGTTGATGGGGTAAAACCAAATTCTCATGGCTGCTCTAATTGGAGTGTTAGACATGGAATGTAAGCTATATGCAACGACTAGAAAAAATGAAAATTACTCGACCTAACTATTTGGTGACTATCTATTAAGTAGTGACTATCTATTAAGTAGTTTGAGATGAGCTGTAAATTGCCTATGACTCGTTAAATGTTACGGTTCTCCCTAGAATCGAACCAACCAACCGGCCTAGGAGGGGCCGATTCAGTTTTATAGGAGGCGGGCTAAGCAACGTGAACCCCCCCTAGGGCGACAATTAGAAAGAGGAAAGGCGGCGACTAATGCTTAAAAAAGTAATTTTGAATTTGGTTTATGTTAGGAAGCTCTAGGGTTAGGGCATGCATGATTATTATTTTCTCTTGGAGTTCTCTTGGTGGCTTTGGGCTCTAGATTCATTGTCTAGAGATTGGGTGAAAACGATCCTCCTCTTGAATTGAGGATCAATTGTATCTTTGCTTGTTCTTGCCTTTGGTTTTATTCCTACAATATAATCAACTGTTTTTGGATTGTTTCATTGGAGATCTTGAATTTTTTTCGTTGTGTTCACCAATTCTTGTTAGGGTTGCTTGCGAACTCAAGTATTTCCCGCTAGGGTTACTTGCGAACTCAAGTATTTCCTATCAATTTGGTATCATACTAATTCCTGGACCATTGTGGGCTGATTTTTTTGAAAACTCAATAGTAGGATTCACCACAAATCATATCATGCAGGTGAAAGGGGGGATAGGGGATAGGGAGGTGGTGGTTTTGATTGACAGTGGGGCTACCCACAATTTCATTTTCACTCAGGTCATCGATCAACTGGGAGTAAAATTAATGGATACCGGTTTGTGGGCTCCAAAGATTCGGCCCCGGCCTCCGTCCGCTTTGCTTTTTCATTTGCGGGGGAGTTTTAATGAAATAAGTTCCGAGGTAAATTTTGGAAGGCAGATGAGTTTGTAGATAAGACACTACCTAGAGATTTCGCCCTCATTTTGCGAGGACTTTCTGATCTGAGCTATGGTTTCCTATAAGTGCAAGCCCCTATAGTTAATTACCCCTCCCGATAACGAGAGAGAAGTTTCAATTAAGGCTAGTCGTCAATCAGATACGTAGAGAATACGTGTTATCTGGCATATAGTAGCAACATGTGCATATGTACTTGAAAAGTTTGGACGTTTGGAAATTTGGGTTGAGATATTTAAAAAGTTTTATACTTAAAATTGAAATTGCACCATCTTGCACTTAAAGTGGATGGTGGGGGAATGGATGATGGACCCAATCAAGATCCCATGGTTCCGTCGTCTCTG